CATGGCTTATTTTAAATCAGTTCATTTTTTTATTGAATTCCCTTGTCTTAAAATAGTAGCCACAATACTCTGTTTAACTTTCAAGAATGCTGCTGAATGTAATCTCTTTAAACTTGGAATCTTTGGAAGAAACCATCCACTACCTACATGACAAGGAAGCCCAAAATACCCAAAAAACTACTTAAGAGAACTTGTGAAAGTTCGGTCCAGAATGTGCTAAATGTAAATGTCTTAGAAGTATTGTTCGACTTAAAAACCGGATACTTACAAAATCAATTATATCTTGCTAGGTTTTCAGTGGGAACTTTAGTAAGGAAGTCAAGATTTTCAAGTATTTGATAGTGAAAACTCATTTATTGTGGGTCTTCCTAGTTGAGTTTGATCAAACAGAACTTTCTGGTTCTACTCAATCTTCTGTTTAGAATTTCCTAAGGGAATATATTATAACCTTTCCTAAGGAAACCATTGATCTAATCTTCAAGATAAGAACATTTGCTGCATGTTTATTTCATTACAATCTCCTGCTAGTACGGATTAAATAAGGGACATATGTAAATAGAGGAGAACTACTTTATGAATATTCAGTTACATTTGAGTATGGTTCATAACTTTACAGTGGGCTTTTAGAGCCATCTTATAATATGCTTGATCATAGTATCTTTTGGAATGTATATGTTGTTTTTATTTTGTCTAGTATTTTTATTTCTGATGGCATTTGGAATTTAATTTCTATAATTATTTTCCTAGTTGAGTCTACTTTTTATCTGTCATTTCAGGTCTTGAAGTTGTTTTAGCAAATGGTACTGTGCTTGATATTCTTGGGACCTTACGCAAAGACAACACAGGATATGACTTGAAGCATTTGTTTATTGGTGAATGAAATCTTCTTGATCTTGTCTATTTTAACATTTTCAAATATCTCGGCAAACCTGTAACCATTATCTGTATGCGTAGGGAGCGAGGGGTCTTTGGGAATTGTAACAAAGGTTTCCATACTCACCCCTCCTAAATTGCCTTCAATAAATCTAGCTTTCCTTGCTTGTGAAGATTATGCCAGCTGTCAGGTAAAGTTTGAGTGTACAATATTAGCTGTATAATCTATATCATTACTATATAAAGCTCACATGAAAATGCTAGTGCTTTTGTTTCTCCATTGCTTGGTAATTCCTCAGTGTCCAGATCATCCATATCTTGATGTTTGTGCATTAGAGTTGGACCTTTATGATATCATTTATTCTTTACTGACTTCATTATTCTCCAACCCACGAACTTAATAATTTTATCTCAATTCTCCATGCTATGTACAGTTACCAAAATATCTTAAAGTGTCTAATCTGGTTTTCCCAGAAGCTCCTGTCCGAAGCCAAGAGGAAGCTTGGAGAAATTCTTTCTGCATTTGAATTTTTGGACATCAATGCTATGGATCTGGTGAGGATCCCTGTAGGGCACAATAATACTTTGATAAGATATTTGAATCTGCCACAATTGCTTCTGATAAATGACCAACAATGCACACTATAAATAACCAGTTTATCCCCTTATCTACTCGGTAAGTAAAATATAACTGTTGTTAAATGGTCTGATAACAGATAACTGAAAAGGGTACATAATAGGTCGTTATCTGAAAGTGCCGAGCCAAATATAGTTTTCTTTCCCCTCATCTGTATCTAAGAAAAGGGTTAAATGTGTGATGCCTAATCCCTAGTATTCTCTAATTAATCATTTTGCTCATTCCGAATAAAATCAACAGATCTACAGGTTCAGTATGTTCTGTGCAAAAAATTGGAGGGGTACTTCCTTCTGTGAAACTATTGTATCCACATAACTTTGCAGAACAAATGTTAGTTTTGATATTGGTTAAGAAGAACAATCATGGGTTAGAAGCTGGATTAGTAACTGAATTTTGTTAAATCCTTTTATCTTTTCTTCCTAAAAGCTTTGAAAGCATACCAACAGATGGAATTGAAATAGAAAAATCTTGTATTTGGTAAAGAATGGTTGCATATTGGATTTGTTAAACTGATGATAACATAAGAATGGTAAATGATGAGATGATACCTTCATTCAAGGTGGCCCTGGAATGTGATGTTCTGTTGGACAAATGTTAGTTCTATAATATGATTTGCTTACGGTGTTGTCCTTTTTTCTGACAGGTTTTGAAGCATTTGGACGGCCTACGTGATCCATTGCCCTCCTCGAGGCATAACTTCTATGTTCTGATTGAAACCACAGGCAGCATGGAATCTCATGACAAGTAACCTTCTTTGTGTTTGCTATTAATCATCGTTAATGTTTTTAAATGTGTGGTTGATGATTTATTTTGTGCAATCTCTTGACATTTTTGCAATCACGGAAAGAATTGGATTTGCCGATTTGTTCTGGTTTTAGTCATGGATATATATTGTGTGTCAAAATCATTGGTGTTGAGAGTTCTGTAAATAGTTAAAGGAAAGAAATGTTGCTAGATGATTCACTGTATATACAGTTTGTTTCTGCCAACCTCACTTTTCTTATGCTAGCAGATGGCTTTTTCCCACCTTTTCTTCTCTTCATCTGCCTTTGTAAAAATTGAGAAGGCCCACGATACCAGTCAACGTTTTATAACTGCACTTGGCATTATAATAGAACAACCAATTATTATTACTAATTATATTTATGGGTGGTCCTCAATTCGGTGATAATGACTCCATTCACGATGGCACTCCAAATAGTATATAAGAATGCTCTTTACTTTGTTATGGATGATAATTTTTTTCTTTTTAATCCCCACCATTTGTCCTAAACGACTAGGGAGAAGCTCGAATCATTCCTTCTTCAGTGTATGGAAAGTGGATTGTTGAAGGATGGAGTTATAGCACAAGATGTAAATCAAGCTTCGTCATTTTGGCGAATACGCGAGGTATTTATCGAGTTAGGCTTCATCTGTGTAGACTGAATATAGTTACTGTAAGGACTTTTTAAATATGCAGACTGCACAGTAATAGTCCTTTCCATTTCTGACATCTATCATTTTTCCTCTCACTATTTTGTTGAAGCATTTTTTAATAGTTTTGCTAATATATACACATTTTTCACGGTCGAGCTAACTATTGAGTTGATTGTTTTTAAATTGCCCATATAAATTGTCATAAGAGTACGTCAATGTACAGCTTTTAATTAACCAAATGAATACTTATGAATCTAAACAATTATGCTTTAGTCTTGTAACCCAGTCACTTAATTTTTCCACCAACAAAAATATATCTGGCAGATATGCTCGAAACTCACGTTGCTCGTCTGCCATGCAGAAAACTGGCATATTACTTCCTCTTTCAAAGTGTGTTGCGAAAACTGATTTGCATAAAAAAATTGCATTCAGATGATTTTAGTTGGAGCCTTGTTACAAAGGGTCTCAAAGACCGTACTTGTAATGTTGACTAATTATACATTTGAGTTACGCCTCAATTATTGCTCGGTTTTATGCTTGCAGGGAATATCTGAAGCTTTATTGAAAGCAGGTGCTGTATATAAATATGACTTGTCTCTGCCTCCAGAAAAGATGTATGATCTTGTCGAGGAAATGCGTGGGCAACTTGGTAACTTACATTTACTTAACATAGTCCTAATCTATATGTTTTGCTATGCTCCGAGGCACATTAGAGTATAATCACCTTACATAATGATTGATTAAGCCTGACAAAACATTTTCATGCATTAAGCAGAGTGAAAATAAATTCTTTGGACGTAATATAATCCTCGTTCATTTTGTGTATAATAGGTAATGAAGCAAATGTAGTGGCTTATGGTCATCTTGGAGATGGCAACTTGCATCTCAATATTTCAGCGCAACAATACGATGACAATGTACCGCAGTAGTTTTTTCATCTCCATTTTGTGAGATTTCTGTCTAAAAAATTTTTGAACTGATTCTAGGCCCGAAAATATTTATTCCAGTTATTATCGAAAATCGAACCATTTGTGTACGAGTGGACATCTAAGCAGAGGGGGAGCATTAGTGCCGAACATGGTCTTGGACTGGTGAAAGCGGATAAAATTCATTACAGTAAGTCTGCTGAAACGGTAAGTAACTTTGTTCTTGCACTTACTATAGACGAAAATGATTAAATTCATCATATTTCTTTAAATAAAATTTTCGTCTGCAGGTGCAAGTAATGGCTTCTATAAAGAAGCTACTTGATCCTAACGGCATACTCAACCCGTACAAAGTTCTTCCAGTTTCAATATTATCACAAAGTTGAGGTTATCGATTCGTGTGGCACGATTAACGACCTGAATATGGCAAGTCATATCTGAACTGACTAATAGTCCATTCATTTCCTGGTCTGTTGCTAGGCCATATGTTGTACAGTTTTCTATTAACTTGAAGTCATCTCCTAAAATAAGAGACACAATCACAAGCAGAAATAAAAGCACAGAAGTTTCATTGCTTCACATCAAAACCTTAAAAGAATACTAGTAGAGTACAACAGTGTATTACACTGAGTCCTATTTAAAAAATATTATATACTTAATATTGAAAAAAAAAATAGAAATTTTTGTTTTAAGTTTAAAAAAATGCTTAAGAAATTGCATTGTCATTTACATTTAAAAATGACACTAGTCACTTGTATATGCCTCTTATAACATACTCCTATATTTTTTTTTTTTTAATTTATAATTTATGTACTTGATGCATAAATTCATTCAATTGTTAGAAAAGTTTATTATGTTTCAATTAATATTGACAGATAATTTATTTATTTTTTTTTATAAAGGTAAATGTGTATTTGTATGTAATATAGATATCAAATCAAAACTCGTCAAGAGATGATTCATTAGATATATATGAAATTTGTATATATATCATATATATGGAAATTTGATAACAGATTTGAAAGTTATTAACTTTTAAAATATATTTATAAATTAATTGATTTATAATGTTAGAACGCCGTAATAGATATGATTTATATGGACTACTGCAAAGCACCATAGGAACACTACTAGAAATCGTCACATAAGATAGGACTATGAAACAGTGGAAATTGAGAAGTGATTTGTAATTGATATTTGAATTTTTTTTTCATTCATCTATTAAGAATATTGGATACTACATTTGAAAAATTTTCTCCATTCATCTATCAAGAATATTGGATACTACTTCCTTTACCCATTTTTGGCGGTTGGATTACACATCCATCCACCCATTTGGGTGTGTTGATCCAATGATAAAATATAGCAGATTTCCCATCAATTGCTAGCCTAACATTCAATGTCACACTTTCTTTCTTTTTTTTTTTTTCGTATACACACGCATATAATTGCTTGAATATTTAATTATTATTTTTTAAATTAAATACTAGAGGAGTTAATGACATATAGGTGTGTAGTTTGTTGGATGGAGCAAACAATTTTCTCCATTTTGTTTCTATTTAGTATTTATATGAAATGATAGCATCACGTGATGAGGAGATTTAAGGGTTAGCAATATTGAGGTGAATTGGAACCCAAAGAATTTCATGAGAAACAAAATGTATTTTTGTATGCAAAATCAGTTTTGAAATGAGGACAAATGAGAAGAAAAAAAAAAGAGTAAAATAAAAGAAGAAGAAAGATTATATGAAAATTAGAAATTTGGACTTTCAATAACCAAACACTAAACCCTAAACATACTAAAAATCATATTTTTCGTGAAAATCTCAAATGATATTAATATAAATGCTTGATTCATTCACTTATATTCACTTATGCATATAAATATATATACTTACATTCAATTTAGACTATCATTCTTCTATTTTAGTGAATATAAATGCTTGATTTATTCACTTATCCATATAAATATATATACTTACATTCAATTGTTTTGAGAATTTTTATTAAATGTGTGGAGTATTTTCACATTCGTAAAGTTGGAAAATGCTACATTCAGTTATTGTATCGTATGCCTGTTATAATGTATACCAATCCTTATATTCATGTCTGCTAAATATTATTATTATTATTACTATTATTATTATTTTTTGCCAGCTATGGAAATTTCTATATACACCACTATATAAGGGTGTAATTGAATATTTTTATTGGCAATTTCTTTTATGAAAAAACATAAAATTGGGGAAGAATCAATGATTTTAATAATGTAAAAAGATGCAATACAAAGTATAATATTTAATCATGATGGGACATAAAAATATTATATGATCATAAATTTTACAGATAAATATGTACACTTACTATTAATTTTTAATTTAAAGTTTTATGTTTCGAAAATTGATTATATAAAAGAGAAACAAAATTAAATGAAAGCGTTTTAGTTTTCTTTTTCCCTAAACAATAGCAATATTAAAAAGCCCGCAAACAAGACTTTACAATATCAGATGTTAACACAACATGGGCATAAACATTAGTCCAGACTGAACAGGGACATACCAACCAGAAGAGGCAGACCCTACAAATAGGGTTGTAAACGAATCGAATCAAAACGAATACTCAGAGATTCGATTTGGATTCGTTAAGATATTCGAAGATTCGAATTCGTATTCGATTCGTTAACGAACTCATTTTTTTATTCGTATTCGATTCGTTTAGAATATTCGAACATATTCGATTCGAAATTCGTTTTAAAAAATATATATATATTAAAAAATATTATAATGACAAAAAATAATTTTTATTTTGCATATATTTTTAGAAAAAAATATTTATTTAGGATGTTTTTAAATTTTAGGTCATAAAAATATTAAGAAATATAACAATATATTCTTATATATAAACAAAATGTATACTATATCTAATTTATAAAAATTTTATAATTATTTTTAACGAATCGAATATTCGAATTTCGAATCGAATATCTACAAATTCGAATTCAAATTCGTTAACTTTCGAATATAAAACATTATTCGTATTCGAATTCGAATATTTCGAATTCGAATCACGAATATCGAATTCGAATCTCGAATCGAATCAAAAAAGTTTGATTTATTTACAATCCTACCTATAAACACCAAAATATGACTACAACCAGGAAAAATCCGTACAAAACGAAACACAATCCGCACAAGATGGAACTAGACCAAAGTTCGTTCTATTTTCCACGCCCGACAAAACTAAGAACACGTAAGCTTGGTCTTCACAACCTAAACAACAAAAGAAAGAAGAATTTGCACCACATACAATAATATTTTATTTATCTAACATTTTTACACTTGAGTATATTTTATTTGTAAAATTACCGAATCACCACAAAATAATTACACATATGCTAGAATTCAGATTTTAGTCAAACTATCTATTAGTTAAGATGTGATTTACATTCACATCTTAAAACTATTCACATTCACACACCACCACAGCCATAGCTTAAATCAGCCATGGAGTTCCAAAGCTTCCACTCTCCATGTCTTTTTCTAGTAACTATTCAAAAGGAAAGGATAAAACTTGCTGTTTTTGATGTTTATATTTCATCCATCTCAAATGCATTCATATCACGCAAATTTTAAGAGCCCTCCATTCCCACTCAACACCATTGTCAATATAGTTCAACTGGTTTCAGAGACAGTCACGACCACCATTGGAAAACACACGCCGGCGAACACCTCCAACGATGGCAAAGCCCTCATAATCTAAACCCTTCTAAAGACACTCTCCGGCAAGCTAACCCAACAAGTCTCCCAATTGGTCGAATCCTTTAATCTATTGTTATATGTGCTGAGATGGGACATATATGTTGAGTATATAGATATTATATTTTCAGTTTATAGACATTTTATGTTTTTGTATATTAGAAGATTTTTGGATACATCTGATAAGATTTGTTTCAATGTTTATTTGATATTTATTCATAATTTATTGATCTTGATGTTTTACAAGGTTTATCCATACTAATCTGAATATTTCATTATTTATAGTATGCATTTCTTTTGATTTATTTATTTATTTAGTATTTTTTGCAATAAGTAATTTGTTATAATATGTTTATAAAATCTATGTATACTTCATACTTTTTTGATAAGTTTGTTGTGTATATGTATGGTTTATTTTTTGATAAAACTATTTACAAAGCATAAAATAAAATAAACACTACGCAAAAGCAACATAAACTAAAAAATA